ATCAACTCAATGCAAAAAATCGGCCGAGAGACAGCTGGTATGTCAAAAAACTCATTTGTCGGGACACTCGTCAGTCAAGGCCCCACTGTGTGTCTGTGTGTGTGTGTGTGTGTGTGTGTGTGTGTGTGTATATATATATATATATATATATACTAGAGGCCCGGTGCACAAAAATTTGTGCACTCGGGGTGGGGGGGGGTCCCTCAGCCCGGCCTGTGCCCGCTCACAGTCTGGGACCCCTTGGGAGATAACGACCTGCTGGCTTAGGCCTGCTCCCGGGTGGCAGAGGGCAGGCCCAATCCCTAGGTGCAGCCCCTGGTCAGGCTCAGAGCAGGGCCAATTGGGGAGTTGGGGCGCTGCCCCCTGTCATGCACAGAGCAGGGCGGATTGGGAGGTTGCGATGCCACCCTCAGTCACGCTCAGGGTAGGGCCGATTGGGGGTTGGGGCACCATCCCCTGTCACACTCAAGGCAGAGTCGATGGGGAGGTTGTGGCGCCACCCCGTCACGCACAGAGCAGGGCCAATCAGGGGGTTGGGGCGCTGCCCCCTGTCACGCACAGAGCAGGGCCGATCAGGGGGTTGGGGAGCTCCCCCATGTCACGCACAGAGCAGGGCCCATCAGGGGGTTGAGGAGCTCCCCCCTGTCACTCACAGAGTAGGGCCGATAGGGGAGTTGGCACACCGCCCCCTGTCACGCGCAGAGCAGGGCCCATCAGGGGGTTGGGGAGCTCCCCCCATCACACACAGAGCAGGGCGGATCAGGGGGTTGGGGCGCCACCCTCTATCACCCACGGAGCAGGGCCGATCAGGGGGTTGGGGCGCCTTCCCCTGTCACTCACAGAGTAGGGCCGATAGGGAAGTTGGCACATCGCTCCCTGTCACACACAGAGCAGGGCCGATCAGGGGGTTGGGGCGCCTTCCCCTGTCACGAACAGAGCAGGGCGGATAGGGAGGTTGTGGCCCCAACCCCTGTCACACACAGAGCCGCAGGGCGATCAGGGGGTTTGGGCGCTGCCCCATGTCACGCTGATCCTGGTGCCAGGAGGCCTCACGGCTCCGCTGATCCCAGTGCTGGGAGGCATATTACCCTTTTACTATATAGAATAGAGGCCTGGTGCACGAGTGGGGGCTGGCTGGTTTGCCCTGAAGGGTGTCCTGGATCAGGGTGGGGGTCCCCACTGGGGTGCCTGGCCAGCCTGGGTGAGGGGCTGAGGGCTGTTTGCAGCTGGTCACACACCCTTCAGGGTGGGAGTCCCCACTGGGGTGCCTGGCCAGTCTGGGTGAGGGGCTGAGGGCTGTTTTCAGGCTGGGGGTGACTGAAGCTCCCAACTGCTCCTTTTTTTCTTTTTTCTTTTTTATTCTGGGCCAGCTTTAGCTCTGAGGCTCCAGCTCTTAGGCCTCCGCTCCTGAAAGCAGGTATCTGGTTTGTTTCGGTTCTCGAAACTCTGTATCAACTCCAGCTCTGAGATCCCAGCTCTGAGATCCCAGCCGGCTGAAAGCTGGTTTCTGGAGTTTTGTTTAGCGTCTGTATTTGTTACAATGTTTGAAACTGCAGGCTCAGAGGCCTGCAGCGGCAGGCGGGGAACGTTGGAGTCCTCCGTCACTGAAGCAAGCAAGCCTCATGTTAGTTTCAAGCTGCCTGGCTCCCGGCCGCCATCTTGGCTGACAGTTAATTTGCATATTGCCCTGATTAGCCAATGGGAAGGGTAGCGGTCATACACCAATTACCATGTTTCTCTTTTATTAGTGTAGATATTATACACACACACACACACACATGTGTGTGTGTGTGTGTGTGTGTGTGTGTGTATTATTGCTTTCAGAGAGGAAGGGCGAGAGAGAGATGGAAACATCAAAGATGAGAGAAAATCATTGATCAGCTGTCTCCTGCACGCCCCACACTGAGGATCAAGCAACCTGGGCTTGTGCCCTGACCAGGAATCAACTGTCACCTCTTGGTTCAAAGGTGTACACTCAATCACTGAGCCATGCCAGCCAGTGAGAAACATACTTTTTAAGGAAATAAACTATGAAGAAATGGTGAAATAAATTAACATGCAATCAGCAAACTTGACAACATACTCTGAGAATAAAGGATAAATATGTCAAAAATAAATTAAACTACTAACTATACCAGCAAAAATTAATGTGGTATATTTTAAATGGCTACAATTTTTGTGTGGCTACTCCCATCAGGACATGGAGTCTCTTTCTCACTCCTTGAATCTGATTAGCCTGTGACTTGCTTTACAACAGGAGGGATGTTGTGTGATTTCGAAGCCTAGCCCTGAAGATACCTTGCGGCTTTTACTCTCACCCTCTGGGAAACCTATTGGAAATCTACAACAGCTAAGAGAAGAAGCCTGGGCTCCTCTGGAAGCACAGGGCTCAAGACCACCAGCATGTACCTACACATGTGAAAGAGGCCCTCTCCCACCACCCAGCCGGAGCTAAGCCCCAGATGACTGGGGCCACATGAGTGACCCCAGGTGAGAACAAGAGAACTGTTCGGCTTAGCCCATCCCAAATTACTGATTCACAGAGCTATGGGGAAAGGAAATTGTTGTTTAAGCTATTAACTTGTGGGGAGTTTATTATATAGCAAGAGATAATAAACTGAAATGAAATAAGTGAGAGAAAAATAGGGAGCTGCACCAAGAACTTGACTCTTATCTACCCTAAGAAGAAAGAATGCTAATGCTTCCTGGTAAAAACAAAAGTTATTAATACAAACAATACAAATGTTTGTGTTAAAATGTGTCAATGTTAGGTATGTGAAAAAATATTGGTTGAAATTTTAGTTAGAAAGGGAAGAAAGTTTAAGGTCCAAAACAGAATATAAATAAAATGGAGGGGAAAAAATGGAAACATTGAAACAAACATAACATTTAGTCAATAATCTAAACACTCCATTTTTTAAAACATGACAAGTCAACAAATATATTTCCTTAAATTCTAATGTTGAATAATCTACAATAAATAAGGAAGAAATACTTTCTTTCATTTTCAAATACTATCCATGCTCCCTGCCACTGCAGCATCTGTAACATACTGTTACCTTCGCCTGTTATGATCTTTCTTCCTTTTGTCTCTTCATACAGTTAATGCCTACTCATCTGATCTCAGGTGACCCTCACTTCCTTACAAATTTCTTAAGTAGGTCAAATGTCTATCCTGATTATGAACTCTTGAGGAACAATGTACTTCTTTCATAGGGTTGTTACAACTCTCATTTACATTCATTTCTTGAGATTATCTGATATAACAGTGGATTAAATGCTCTATGAAGGCAGGGCCCACATTTATTTTCATTCTCTACTGAGTCCCCAGTGCCTGGCACAAGGTCTGGCATATGAAAATGTCTGTGGGAAGAATACATAAATGAGAGGGAGTGGTCTTGTTTCTTAGGTCCCTTCTAATCCCAAAATTCTGTCCCACTATGAATGAACTCAGTGGAGATTTCTAGCACAAGTGAACTGTACATTATGCCAGTGAACCTGCAGGTTATGTACAGCCTGAAGACCCTGGTTTTCCACTCTTATTTCTCTCATAGCAACTATTTCCTTAGTACAACTGAAATTTGGTTGTTGAACAGGAAGAGATGGGTGACAGTCACCAGATTTACACAAAATATAGGACCTTGTAATACATTCTCTTATTTAAGAATACATAAAGTCTAATTAATAAATCCTCTGAAAAAAGTTGCTTTTAATAAGGCGGTCTATGTGGAGGACTTAGAAAACATCTGGCAACTCTCAGACAGGGGTGAGGAACTGCCAGGACCGAGGAAGTCGAGAAGGCATATGTGTTGCCTTGGGCCACAGTCTGGGACTCATGGAACATAGGTTAACAGAAATATATGAAAGAGGAAAATATTTATTTAGGGTTCTTTGTTTGGTATGGTCATTTTCAACATGTACAGCTTTTTTCTTAACTAGGAGAGCAAACAGGTATGAATATTTTATTAAAAATCATCTATAATAGATTTATGTCTCAGAAAAAAACTAGTTCATTGGAAGCACATTGTATTTACATTAAAGGTAATGCCATTTGACCCAGCACTCTTTCAGTCTCTTCTCTTCTTAGTTGCTATGAAGTCATTTTACAACAATTATTTTAATGTTAATGAGACTATTAATGTTAATGAGACTATTCTAATATGAGAATATTTTAAGCTCAGATTTATGTCTTAAATTCCTAAAATAAATAAAAAACTGTATTCATTTAAATTTAAGAACACAGCAATGAGAAATGGGATTTTTTTTTATCTAATTTCTAAAATTTGTCATAAAAACATAATTTCTTAGTCATACTCTAAAATTTCCACATATTATATTGTTTCATTGATATGTTAGTGTTTTCACACAGTCTGTTTTCAAGTGCCTTATCATTCAACATATTCTAGTGTTTCTGATCTGGGTTTCCAAAACTGAAACAGCTTTTAAAAAAGCCCTAAATATTTAAACTCTCAAGTCTTCAAGAAAATAAAGCGTGGGAATTTTAAAGTTTATTGATTAAAAGAGTAGCTATTCTCCCTTACTTTGCCCCCCATCGGAAGCCTCTCTTTTAACATAGTTTCTGGTGACAGTCCCGAGAGGGAAGTGGCTTGCCCATCATCTCACTTGCTTATGGGGCAGCTGAAATGAGGACCACACACTCTCGACTCCCAACAACCTCTGGGGACAATCCTTCCCCATTCCATTCTTCTCTTGTCACCCTTTCCACAGGGAGCCTGCAACATGTAAGGCACAGTACTTGTAGGGAAGGTTCCTTTCCTCTCAGAAAAGTCAGTCTTTCAAGAGGAGAGCGTCATGTCAAGTTCCTGGATACCTCTCTTTCCCCAGTGTTTCAAATGCTCCAGCTTTACAGCAAAAGATATCAGGATGATTAAGTAAATGTACTTTGCTCTTGCCTTAAGGCAGCAATTTTGTTCAGAAAAGCCACACATAGAGCTATTTGTGAACTGTATGGGCAGAAAAACCCCAGGTGATCTCATTACCTGAGTAGGGCTCTGAAGACTTAAATCTAAACCACAGGTAAACTCTGTATGATGGTCCACTATTTCAAGAAGAGGGTCAGGCTTTGAAAAGTTCCAGAATCTGTGAATATAAACAAAAAAAGTAATTTAAGTACTAAAACTACCAAAAAATTTACCTAAGAAAAATAGATATTTAACGTATCAAAGATTTTATCAGAACAGGCCCAACCAATTAATAAATGCAGAGCTCCATTGCTGACCCACATTAAAAAATCAAATAAAGAAAAAAATGCACTCCATTCTATTATATAACAAATGGGATTAGTAATCAATTTACCCTGTAAACAATGATTATATTCCCATTAGTATACCTTGTAGGGTGAAACTTCACAAGTGTTAGTTAATTTTTTTTATATTGCACATGGACATTTGAGATGAGAAAGATCAGGCTTTTTTTTTTTTTTTTTTTTTTTTTTTTTTTTTTAGCAATTTCTAAAAGCATTCACTGCTGTAAAATAAGAATATTGGAATAGATGCACTCTAACATTTCGCAATTTTAAATACTATTTCATTTCTGACATGAAAAGATCTTAGGTTTAATTAACATTTCAATAGCAATTCAAATTCTTAAAAAAGAATCTGTTCTCTTATAAAAATATCTCTGTAATTCTGAAACTATCTTTTTCTTTTTTCTGAAGCACAGCCCTTCTTATAGATTCCATGTCAATGTAATTTCTCAAGGCAAGAAAAACGGAAATGTGTTTTCCTGGGCCAATATTAAGTATTGTATTTATCCTCTATAGATGGGGAGTGGTAATATTTACCATGATATATCTGATTTCTACTGTTCAGAGAAGAGTTTGGCCCTAGTTTCAATACACAAAATAGCACTTTATTTGTTAAGCTTTATTTGCTCATCCTCTTTCTTATTTTAAACACACCATAAAAAATGGCACATTCAGAATCATAGAGTCATACTCCAGCTCAGCCTCTCTAATGATGCACAACATAGAACACGTTGAAGGCTTAGCAGATCTCTTTGTAAGAGAGTAAATACACAAAACCAGCAGTCAGTTTGTTTAACCTGGCGGTATTATTTTCCTAATAAATACAGAGTTGGTCTTATTATGTCTGAAAAGGATTGTTGCTATGGATAATCTATTGTGTGGTACCAGAGAAACAATGAATAAATAGCTCATTTATCAGATTACTGAAATCTGCAAAATATTTAAGGAGAGTGACTTTACTTTTGAAAATATGCCTATTCAAACAAATGAGGGAGCAAGCTAAGCTGCAGTCCTTCTCAGAAATCATAATAATGATCTCTACTGTCTTTGCATATTTGTTCCTTTGGGTCTAGAGACAGTGAATTTTACTGCAATCTAATTTTCTAGCTCTTGATAATGTTTATATAAGCAAAAGTAAATATGTAATTGTATAATTTCATTTCTAAAATATGGTTATATACTAATTTGCAATATCTGAAACAATAATCAAGTCATTTTGTATATACCCACTATAATCCAAAAGTATTCAAAAGTTTTAAAAATATGTATTTAATATGGAAAAAAACTGAGTTAAAGGAAAAGTAAGGGTGGGAGAGTAAATTCAAATCTGTAATATTTATAAACAAAGTTATATTCCATAAAGTTGTGTATGATTGGCAGGGGAGGACCTCTCAAGATGCTAAGCTTTCCAGTAGTCAAAGGAAAAAGGGAGACACAAGAGATCCCTCAATTCATAATGTCTACAACTAAATTGCTCTTGGAACTCAGAAGGAAATTCACCCTTGGGAGTCCATGGAGTAGAAATGCAATGCTTATGTAATGAACTCCCTGAACATTTCTTAGGGAAACACAGAGATGCTGTTTCATGGGCTGCTACTCATGAGTCACCCCAAAGAGCAGTTTGGTGGAATCATTCTATGGGGAGGTCAATTAAATCCAGGTAATCAGCTCTCTGACTTCATTTGGGATTTAGATTTTATTTCAGTAAAATTGGTAGGATAAATGCTCTTTAGACAAATCATAAAAACTGATTTCCTTCTGAACTATTTAAGGACTAGAGGCCCGGTGCACACAATTCGTGCACGGGAAGGGGGCCCTCAGCGTGGCCTGCACTCTCTCGCAATCCGGGACCCCTCAAGGGATGTCCTACTGCCAGTTTAGGCCCGATCCAGTAGGGGATCGGGCCTAAACCGGCAGTGGGGCATTCTTCTCATAATACGGGACTGCTGGCTTCTAACCACTGGCCTGCCTGCCTGTCTCATTGCCTCTAACCACTCTGCCTGCCTGCCTCATCGCCCCTAACCATTTTGCCTGCCTGCCTGATCGCCCCTAACCACTCTGCCTGCATGCCTGATCGTCCCTAACTGCCTCTGCCTCGGTCCCCGCTGCCGTGGCTTATTCCGGAAGGACGTCCGAAAGGTTGTTCGGCTGTCCGGTCTAATGAGCATATTACGCTTTTATTATTATAGATAATAAAAAGCAATAAGGATTCATTTATTCCCTCCTGACCTGTTCCTGAAATGCAGTTTTGTTGTTATTTTCTTATTTAAACCTGTTAAGGATAAGGCTGCACTGAGGACAAGACAGGTGAGCCTTATGAAAATTAGGATGCTTAATAAGGGCACATGTGTGAAGCCATCCAATTTTAGCTTGAAAGTGTGGTAAGAGAAGTTGCACATTCAGGAGTGCAGAGAGTAGATTCAAAAACTCAATTTAAATTTGTCTAATATGTAGCTTCGTGGGCTGTCAAGGCTACAATTCCACACTATAGTCACACCCATCATAATTTTAACCTGGGAAAAACTATCAACACTTATTTATTTGCATTTTGCAAAGAACTCATCAAATAAAATACATGCTAAATATGAGCATAACCAATGGACACAGACTGGGGCAGGGGGAAGGAGGGCATGTGCTGGGTGGTAGGGACGGCGGGGGAGAGGTCAATGGGGGAAAAAAGAGACTTATGTAACACTTTTAACAATAAAGAATTAAAAAAACACACACAAGAAAAAACAAGACCCATATGGGCTCTCTACAAGAGACCCACCTCAGAGGGAAAGACACACAGAGACTAAAAGTAAAGGAATGGAAAAAGATATTTCATGCAAATGGAAATGGAAAAAAAAAAGCTGGGGCAGCAATACTTACATCAGACAAAATAGACTTTAAGAAGTATAGAGTTTCAGGTTTAGAAAATGAGAAAAGTTCTCGAGATGAAGAGTGGTGATGGTTGCAAAAAATGTAAATGTTCTTAATGATAGTGAACTGTACACTTAAAAATTGGTTAAAATTGTAAAGTTCATGTTATGTATATTTTTCTACAACTAAAAAAAGCTAAATTAAAAAACAAAAAAAAAACCATGCTAAAACTCTAAGGATACTATTTGGTGAAGGGAAAGTTAATTTAGTGAATGACATACAAGCACGACTGTTTATTACACCATTTCACAGCTCTGACAAATTATGTAATACACAAAGTATAGGTATATATGTGGTGCAAACATTATGAGAGGTTCATTTCCAGCAGAATGGCTGACTGGGAACCTAGGCCAATATTCTTCCTGAAAACAATTAAATTTGCTAGATAAACTGTGAAAACAAACAAGTACCACAAAACTTCATAAAAGCATCAGTGAGGAACACTCAAGTAAAAACTAGAATGATGTCTGAAACCCAGAGCAGGATATGGAACAATGAAGGCAGCTTTTGCCCTGAGAGAATTTGCTAAATATAGAGAATCTAAGCTTCTATATTTTTAACCTCAAGGAGATCAGGAGCCAGTAAAATAAGAAAAATTCAATATTTATATTTATTTATAATTTTAATATATTTTTCAATAAACTGAAATATCTAATCAAAAGTATCAAGTCAAATACAGTAAATTGCACAAGTTAAATAGCTGAGAAAATCAAAAGTTAATGTCTATCTATAAACTTTACTTTTAAATCACAAAAGGAATAATAACAAAAGAAATAAAATAAATGTATTTATTTTACATTTATTCATTTCCACTCTTTAAATGGCAACCATGGTCAACAGTTTGATGTGTATAGTTCAAGATTTTTCTATGTGTCATCATTCAATTCCACCAGGAAGGGGTGAGTTGTAAGGAGGAAGTAGCAGGAAGAAAGTGAGCATTTCACCAGGTTTTCTCATGTTTGCAAATAGGGAATTGGCAAAGTCTCTCTTCGCAATCTTTTTCTGGACTCAAGGGTCCCATAAGTTCTACATATCTGAGGGCCTTCGTGTGCCTATCATACAAGTAAAATGAGCTCCTTTTTATCACTAAGAAGTCAGGATACATATATCATTAAGAGGTCAAATAAGGCACATCATTTTTAAATGATGGTTTTTTGGTGCAGCATATACACTACTTGGTGCCTTTTTGTCTCTTTGCTGATGAAATCACTGACTATTTAAGCTCTATCATGGGAAGCAAATACGCTGGACAGGCTTCCAATGATTAAAAATATTACAGAACTGTAGGAACAGTTTTCATTTAAATTGGAGAGGTAGAGAGAAAAATTCATCATAGTACAATGTCTTGGTTAAATCCCTTTTTGCCTTCTGACTCACAATTCTTTAGCAAAGCAAGTATGTAGCACTGTGTTAAATAAAGCATCAAAACGATTTCAAAAATGAAGCTAAAATCACTTTTTTACTTTACCCAAATGCAATTTGAAATCTCTATACAAACACTTTTAAAATTTAGCCAGTACATGAATTCAGTAGGTTTAAAATATTTTTCAGTTTCCTTTCCTGTTCACAAACTACATGCTAGTAATTCTTCATGAGTCTTTCCTAACTATAAAAGTTGGGGAAAAGTTTTGGTTACTTTGCAATGCCTTACATGTACCTTAACTTTAGTTGTGTTTTTAAAATTTTTAAGCGAATTGCAATCTTATAATTATCTCTATTTGCATTGCTTGGCTATGTAGCATTCTCTAGTGGTGAGCAAAAAATGTCACAACTGCTTGTTTTCTCCTCATTTAATTACTCATTCATACAACAATTTGTGAGTGCTAAAATGTGCCTGGTGCTGTGCTAATAATAAGCACCAAAAGCAAGAGACACGTGGTCACAGCCCTCCTGCAGCTCCTAATTCCATGAG